GGTGTCAGCAAAAAGTCCATAAAAGGTTGCCAGAACTTTGCAAAAAAAAAAAAGGAAAAAAAAGTATTGTTTTAACCTTGATCAAATAAACCAACTTTATTTTACAGGTTTAGTCGTTGTTCATTCAAATAGTGTCATAGGATTTGATTTCTCTTCAATTTGTCTTTATCCCATCGCACAGACTTCGAGGATTAAACAAGCCTCTTTTGTAGATCCAATAAGAAAATGTTTTCCAGGTCATTCTCTTGGTTTGTCATTTGTATTTCCCTTTTAATTTTTAAAACTTCAGCTAGTTTCTTTTGTATATCGAATAAAGCGTCCTTTTCCAAATAATTTTCTTGGACTGTCATTTGTAGTTCCACTTTTGGTACTTTGTCTTATCAGACAAAATTTGCTCTACATCTGTCATTTCCTCATTGATATCTTTTGGATAAATCTATCCATAGAATCAGACATCATTACCGACACTATTGATATTGTAGCTACTAATTTCTGGCTCCATTCTTCAAAGATCTCCTTTAATATTTCCAATGTTATAACATTTTGTGTCATTTTGTAAGTCCCAATTAACTGTCACCAAAAGCTGAGTTGTATTTTTTACCCTTCTGCTTAAATCTTTAGTCCCTTCTAGTGCCCAGTTTCTAAAATCATCTCTTATCTTTGTTATGAGCCAAGATAGCCAAAATAACTCTGGTAGCCATGAGAAGCTAGTTATTTTTATAGTTAATTTCAAACTCTTATAGTAAAAGTCAATAGTCCAAATTTACCTGGACATTTAATCTGTTTGTAACTTTCTTAGATCAAAATCTTATTTAGCTTTTTGCTGTTTATTTCAAATTATTTAAGTTCTTAAGCTTGTAATTAATTTTTCTTTTGTTCAGAGTTGAAGCTAAATTTACCTGGTAACTTTTCAAACGTGTGGTTCTGAAAATCTCTAATAGCTTTAAGATAACCATTGGCAATTTCTGAAAGTGGTGAGAAAGTGAGGCTTGCAAACTTAATATCCTTTAAAAGGCTCCACCGTGGTTGCAAGCAAGATGGCTAATCCCGTCATCTCCCGGCACTTAAACCCGCAGAAGACTGCTGTCCTGCAGTCTTCTCATGAGGAGCAGCCATCTGGACCACCTGTGGGTGATGTCCCATCCTCTCCTTATCCGGAGAGCTTCCAAAGGATCTACTCACTGGTTCTTTGATCTTTGCTGCAGTCATTGGCTCTGCTTTTGCGGAGACGTCTTCAGTTTACCATGTCTCCCCCAGAAGTCAAGCTAAACCACATTCCTAAGCTTTCCAGTCTGTATGCATCAGAAAACTGCCTTTGCTTTGCTGATCAGAGAAACCTACCATATTTGATGACATATATTGGAAACACTTAATACAATTAAGCATGCCACCTGCCAGAGTCTTGTTTGTTTTCAGCCGGGCCACGTTCAGAGGCATCCAGAGGATCAGAGGCTTTTGTCAAAATGATGGAAACAATGTCACTCATCGTGGCAAAAGCTCTGGCCCTTTTGTATGTGTCTGCAACATCATTACATGAGCACAAAAGGGGCAGATCCGACATCACTATGCCACAATGCTGCTTTCAGCGCTTGCCCCACCCCCGACCTTAACCCCTGCAGACACCTTTGCTTTCCCCTCTTCTCACCAAAACTCTTCTCTTGTCTGTCTTGTAGATAGCAGACCTTGGTGTGGCCTGTTTCAAAAACTGGAGCAGGCTGACTAAAGAAGAGACCAGCCGACAGAGGAAAATCAAGCAGACATCCAAGAGTAATGCCGGCACCCTTTCCTACATGGCCCCAGAGCATTTGCAGGACATCAATACAATGCCTGTGGAAAAATCAGACATTTACAGCTTTGGCATCGTTTTATGGGCCATTTTTGCCAACAAAGAACCTTATGAGAGTAAGGGTTTATGATCAAGTATCTTTCCTTGCTAAAATACTGCACTGCACTGCATTTTAATGATGCCGAGTTCTTCTCTCCCTTCATCCAGATGCTGTCAGTGCTACACATCTGTGCTACTGCATTTCAGCAGGGAACAGGCCACCTATCAAAGAGGTGGAAGACAGTTGTCCAAATGAGATTATTACTTTAATGGAACGCTCTTGGCAGCAACAGCCAAATGATCGGCCAACCTTTGCAGGTAATACAAGATATTTCTGCTAACCGTTTATAACAGACCAAAAGGGGGTCGTGCCGGATGATTGGACAGAAAGAAAAGCTTTCTATATGCAGCTGAACGAAACAAGGCAAGATGGCACATGGAAGCCCCCATACTTTATTTCTATACAGCATTGTGATTCATGCCAACCACTCAAAATACGCTGTATGTATTAAAACAAACACAAACATCAAGAGATCAAAGGCTTTCTGAACTAGGACTGAAAAAGACTTTACATACCTTCTAAAAACTTACTGGAAAGGAATTGTATAGATTTCCTGGTTTCTGAAATCTGTGAGAGCTGGTTTTCATGCACTATATCATAACTCATAAATCATGTTTGTATCTAAATAGTTTCTCCACCACAGTGTTACATCCACCTTCCAAGTATATAGCGTAAAGCTTAAAAACTACATGTAGCGACATCTCTGCCTTGAATAAATCTAATGCAGCCTAGTAACATAATGAGGATTCTAGATACACTTATTAT